CTGCCCGCCCTCAGCTCGGCCTGGACGGGGCCGGGGAGTGCGGCCGGTTAGAGCAGGTCTAAGAAACGGAGCGTGGGTTGGGCGACTCGCTGCGTTTCTGGTGCTGTCGAGGGCCCTTTTGTTGGCTCCCGGTGGCTGGGAGGGGTTTGGGCACACCAGTGGCTTCCCCTCGTCTGCGGTGGGGGAGACGCTTTTCTGTGCTGCCATCAAGGGATGCTGAGTTCCTGTCCTCCTCTGCGTTTTGCACTGCTCGTTTGTAAACTGAGACTTAATTAACGTACTTAGCACACCACTTTTAAAGCAAACTTTGAAAGAGGTTAAGAAAGCACTGTTGTCGAGAGGTTAGATGGTCAGCTTATGAAAAGGGGCCAGTATGGGACTGGAGTGGGTGTCTCAACGGTGGACCCACGGTCTAGCTGCTGGGGTGGAGGTGTTCAAACTAGAGCCTGCCCAGAATGCTCTTCCCTTTAAAAACAAACAAAAAGTTAACCTTTCCAAAAGCAGATGTACAAATTTGGTTGCTAAGCAAGGTAACAAAACCAGAAGCTTTTGCTTCACAATATTTTTTCTGTGAAATACTCTGAGATACCCAGTCCTGGCACCTCAGAAAGGGCCAGAGAGATGTTTGAATTTTTGTTTTGGTCTTAACTTCCTGAAGTCTGCTTTTTGTTGGTGCTCAATAAAGGGACAGCAGCTATTCAATTATGCTATGGAAATAACTGCAAACTCTTTATTATAAAGTGTGTAATTTGTTTTTAGGTCACAGTGTGAGCAATGCTAGGTATTCTTGCCCTTCCCAGTTACTTCATTTGCAGGTGAAGGATTAGGAAAAGGAAGACACATTTTCAGTGTCTTGCAGTTTCCAGCAGGGCAGCTGAGCTTGCATCTTTGAGGCAATTACTGGAAAAACAAGTGTGCTTACTTGCACAGAGCCAAGTAATGATAAGAAAACAAATGCATTCATTAGTTTGTCAGTCTTCTAGACTGTTCAGGGCAAGTCTGCCTATTTCAGCTTCTGTGATTCTATGAATATCTGTATTGGTCGCCTCTTCCTTGCCTTGAGAAAAGGTGGTGTGTGGTGTCTTTCAGCTGGTCTAGATAGACAGTTCTGATCTAGGCAGTGACTGATTTCTGTGCTTTCAGAAAAGCAATCACTAACTTTACCTACGCAATGTGCTCTTGCTCATAAAGGAAAGATTTTCCTCCACAAACAACTTGATACGCTTATCTTTAGCTGTAGACGGAAGTTCCTCAGAAGTCTGTGAGGCAGTGTGTATATATAGCGATATCTGTCAGCTGTGAGCTGTGATAATATATTAGATGTGTGGGTTTTTTTCTGACTTTACATAAATAACTTACATAAACAACATAAGAATGTGTGTTACAGTGGAAACTGAATTCTTAACAACAGGGTTTACATATAATTGCGCAGAGTGGTATGGCTCTGGAGTATTTCCCTGATTTCTTTAAGCGTGTGCTTGGTGGCTTTGGCACCTTATTCCTTCACGTGGGACATACGTTTAAATTTGAGTGCTCTTTAAACGCAAGTTATTGGTGCTGACTCTGCTCCTTTGACTGATTGGCTTTCCCAGTCTGTCCAGAGCTGGGGCTGCATTGCTGGACTCTGATACCTCCAGACAGTTGTCTCGGGATCCCTGTGTTCAGAGTACAGTGGTGGTTGCACAGACTGAGCTCATGGGACTTGCTAGTAAGAAGCCTAATTGTTCCATTAGGATCTACTCACTTAGCTCCTCTAATCAGAGTGTGGGTTTCTTATGTAGGAAGTGAGTGTTAATTAACTCTTACTTTCATTACTCCAGGGATCTCTTTATAGAATCTTCCACACTGCAACCTGATGCTGTCTTGAAGTATGTTTATTGTGCCTTAATTTAATTTTATGATTCTCATCTCTGCTACTACAGAGGATGTTAATTTATATATTCATGGCCTTTCTAGAACAAAACTCTGAACTGTACAAGTCTTTGTTCACACTTCCTTAAAATACTGCATTGTAGGCACGTTGGAGATAATACTGATCCTCCTTTGATGTTCCTAGTTTCCTTCTCGTTGCTTGGTATAGTTGAGAAGGAGGACTTGATTTAGCATTTAGGAGGAGAAATTTGACCAGACAGTAGGTCAGCATGGAGGACCAGTAGGAAGGAAGCTCCTCTCCTGAACACGTGCCAGACATGTGAGTGTGCTGCTGTTCCTGTGAGAGGATGTGCACCTTGCAGGTAGTCATTACCAATTGTCCCCCTGCACGGTGCTTTGGTCTGTAGGTTAAGTGCTCTGGGAAGTTGTGGGCAAGAGCCAGCTGTGCTGACCGGCCCCCTAAAATAGGTGAAGACTGACCTGTCTGCTCCGGAGTGTGTTAAGAGCGAAGTACAGCCAGGGCCCTTCTGGGCCAAGGTGGCAGTTCAGATCTCCTTCTTGGATTTAGGCATTAGAGGTCTGTTTCTGATGCCTTAATCCATGTGAGTCTCTCATTGAGCATTCCCTTGCTCGCACGCTCCTTGTGAGGATCTAGCAGTGATTAGCAGCAGAAAGCTTCTGCCTGTCAGTCTGAACATTCAAAGCATTACCATACTCTGATGCGTCTGTTCTCTTTTCATAGGCAATAAATGGGGTTTTTGTAGAGGTAAGAAGTAGTACAGAAAGGTACAAGAGAGAATTTGTGCCAGTTCTTTCTCTTTGCTTGTTCTGTCTCTTATCATCTCAGAATGGCTGAGAGGTCACAGCCTTCTGCCTGGGAGCAGGCTGCAGGAGTTAAGTAAGCAAGCTCAAGAAGTGTACTTGCAATGTTAGGAAAGCAGTTCTAGGGCCACCAAAATACAGGATGATGCTTTTTCCTGTTAGTGCAACAGCTTTATTTACAAGCTCTGAGATTTTAAATATTACAGATCATAAGGTGATTTAACTACAGGGCAGCTGAGGCCAGGAATTTGTTCCCAGATTCAGCCATACCAGCAACGCCGAATATCGAATGAAATGCAAATTTTAAAAAAGATATGATGCAGAGGAACATTATGCCAGCAACCACAGGGAAAAGGAAACTAGGACAATGTGAGATGATGTCTGATTTGTCCCTGTTATTTGGGCAAGCAGAGGCAAGGGGTTAGTAGTGGCTTGGGGAAGAAGAATGTCATTTAACAAGATATGCACGTCCCATGGATAAGTAAGTTTCTGTCTCAGTTCCTGTCAGACAAATTGAGTCAGTCATCCAGGCAATAGAACAGTCTGTCTGTATTATTTCAGACTTCAAAATGTCCTCTCAGATAAAAGTAAAACATGTTTTTTCCCTTCTTTTCCAACAGGAAAGAGACTACAAGAATGGATCTCTGTCATCTTATGCTTCTCTCTGATCTGTTTCAATTTTTACAATCTTCTCTTCTATTTGCGACTGGAACACACGCCCTCTATTATTGTTGGGATATGTAAGTAGGAACTTTCACTGCCGTGAACAAGGCGAGACTGTCCATTGTAATGCTGCAAACAAATGTGGGATCTTTTAGGCTTGACTTACTGTTGGAGAGGGACGTTTGTGCGTGTGCAAGTGTAGTGCCTCTGAAACTGAGACCGCCTGCAAAATTGTTACTGCTTTCTGTCTTTCATTTCAGTGGCTTCTCAGTATCTCAGAGGTGAAGTTTTTAACGTAGCTATTTTTTCATGTTCTTACGTGGTCATGGCAAGTGTGAGGACTATTGAGAGTGAAATAGCTGTCAAGACTGTCAGGGTTGGAAACAAACTACGCTGATTGACAAAAATATTTAGAAGAACTTTTCAGAAAGCAAAAGCCCAAGAGAAATCTTGTAAAAGGTGTTTCAGGGATCAAACTGGCTTGATTTCTGGGGATTAAAAACTAAACCCGAATATTTTAGAGTATTATGCTTTCATGTCAGGATGTGAAGTTTGGCCTATTTGCTAAATGATGACTTTTTTCCAGCAGTATAAGAAAAGTTGCAGCTTTCTTAGGAAAAAAATGTGACTCTTGGTTTCTTAATACTTCATTTGATTGGAAGCGTAGGCAGGCAAGATCAGTGTCCTGTCTTTGCCTTAGACATGTAACGATGCTGAAGTTGGCTGGATCTTGGCAGTGCAGAGCTAGCTGGTCTAGGTGCAGTGTGAGCTGGTGGTTGCACCTTCTCAGTGAAGGAGAGGAAGAACTAGTAAAGGATTCTGATAGAATCAGGAATTGCATGGAGTTAGATAAAGGAAAAACTTGTCTTGGAATAAGCTGGGTGTGAAAAGGGACTCAACAACATTCATTACATCGTTCAAAGCCTAAACCTGTGCACAACTTGAATGTTGCTTTGCATTCAGAGCAAAAAGTATGAGTGCTTACATGAGCTTTGTGTTATTAGTGTAGTATTGAAATGCTGTTGCACAGAGACTTTTTTGAGAGCAGGCAGAAGAGAGGGCAGTGGGGCAGGCTGAGCTGAAGCAGGCGAGCATCTGCGGCTGACTCAGTCTGTTGGCATTATCTGGGCAGCAAATGTTACTGGTAGCTTTATGGTCATGCACGGGAGGGGGACGTGGGAAGAGGAAAAAAGATTAAATTTAGAAATTGGAAGAGTCAGCTCTGCAATGCATGCCTTTCATAATTTTCTGGTAAACTTCTCTTCCCTCCCTCATCCCATATTAGAATAGTAACTAAGTATGTCTCCAGTCTTCTACTGTACTTGTGATGCATATTGAATGCAATATTAACTTCTTTGTTGGGTGTGTAGAAATATTTATGTATTTTCACATGAATTGCCTTCTTAACTGAAAGAACATATGGTGTCGTTAATTAAGACACCATATAAGCTTGCTGCAGGTGTTCAGCTTCTGTGCTTTATAATAAAAATAACTTTTTTATGAACTGCGTGAGGTGGTGTATGTTTTAGAAGAGAATGGTACTTGTTTGTAATCACTGTTTTGCATATTGCTAATGATTTAAAAGTAAAAAACTCCAGCAGATTCAAATAGTGATATGTGATAGATCCTATGAATTTCTGTCAAAGCTGAGAAGTGGTAATTCCTGATGTCTGTTTAAAGGTTATTGGCTTTGTGTTGGGGGAAGAGGGAGCAGTGTGCTCCCCACCAAGAATCATTCCAGCTCACTTGCCTAGCTTAGTCTTGCCTGCTCTCAGCTGATGAGGTGGAGGTGTTTGGAGGAATGGAGAACACAGCATGAGAACTCCATAATGATGAGCACAGATGTAGACAAGAGAATCAGTAATGATGGTTGACCTGTAGTGCAATCTGCTTGCAACTGGCTTTCATCTCACTTAATATTGATAAAAGCTTGAGTTCTCTGATATCCCGGTTACCACTTTAACCGATAAAGCACCCAATTCACTGATAACGTTATTTAAGCAGTAGTGAATGATTAAAGTAGCAGAATCTGGATTCTATGTAAATAAAATAGTGTGGAAATAACTATGATAGTATGTATAAAAATTAGTGCAATAAAATAATAAGTGCTGCACACTGTCTTGTTTTGCTGCCTTCCTTGAATACATCATTTCTCCAGGTAAAGTGTGAATGATGTCTGTAATTCCCAGTGAGGATTAGGTTTCATTAAGTTTTTGTGAAACTCATCTCCATAAATGTCCTGATTCCTAAATACCACATGCAATGCAATGGGTAGGATAGGGAATATTGAGTCACAGACATCATCAGATGTGTTCCCATTGAAAGCTTTCCTGAAGATTAGATTAGAATATCGACCTTTCAGTTTAAATCATAAAATAAGTGTTCTGCTAATAAAGACATAGCTCCAGATCAAGTTCACATCAGGTTTTTGGAAATCTGAAAGCGATCAGTGATTCAGTGGGCTGGATCTAATACACTGCACAGACTGTTCGTTAAGATGCACTGTCATGACCCTCTGTGTACTCTTAAATAAATACATATTTTTCTTTTAAGAAATCAGATTAATTTGAACCTTCCACATCACTTAGTCAAAACCCTGTATCTGTAGTTAAAGACTGTGTTATATCTTCTTTTTTCATGCCTTTAAAGGCACACATAATTGTAACATGGGTAACGCTTTAAATACCTTAATTTAGAAATTCTTGGGACAAAAAAGATCTGATCCTCCTCTTACTGGCAGTCTGAAAGCACTTACTTCCTTGTGTGAGGGAGCAGGCAGTCTGCTGAGGAATGGCCTGACGTGGCACACTGTCCTTCGCCGTGCTGGATCACCTACGGGCACTCGTGGCCCCGGAGTGAGGGAAGGCAGGCGAGAAGTTTATGGCATTGTTTTAGAACAGCTTTTGAACTGGGTGGTTTTCTGCTGACAAAGATGATCTTGCCAGAAAGGAAGAGGGACCTGTGTGAGTCTCGTGTCTTCCAGGCTGGTTTAGCAGAGACGTGACAATTCCCTTCCTCTCTTCAGTGTCAAAAAAAAAAAAAAAAAAAAAAAGAAAAAAAAAAAGAAAAGAGGATAGGGAGGGGATGGATTTCTTTGTTTATTTCTGTGTTAAATCCAGTCATGCCCTATTCAAAATGTCGTCAACTGCTGAGGAGCTATGAAAACTTTCCTTTCGTGTAACATGTAAGTTGACAACTACCTAGATTTGAATTTGGTGTTTTATTTGTGTGCTCATGGTTAACTCCGGGATAGGCTTAGTTGGGAATGCTGGGTGTGAGGGAAGTTTGCCCCCATTTTTTCAGCCACAGCTGAACCGTCCCACTGCAGCGGGACACCATCCTGGCAGTGCTGCAGCACCGGAGCAGCCTGTGCTGCTGTCCGTGCTGGGGACAAGGCTGGCCTGGGTGGGGCTTGTGTGATGAGCAGAAAAGCCTCACCAAAATGTGTGAGATTGGGCTTGAAAGCTCTTGCACCTTCGAGTGAGTTTGTGGTGTCCAGCGTATTATTCAATATACATGAGGGGCGGGGGTGTGCGTATATAGCAGGTATATTAATAGCATCTAGATAAAGCTTGGCAAGTTACACCATGGATTCTGGTTTTCATTTTTTCCACCCTCCTCATGCCTTTCTATAGTGTTTTAAAGCCTTTTTTTTCAAATTGGTTAACTTATTTCTGACATTTGGCTTTTATCTGCAGCCACGTTTGTTCTTAATAGATACTGTTTATTGCAGTCTTAAAAGAAACATAGTTAAGTTTGTGTTGTAACCTGTTCTAAGAACTGCCTCATGCAGGGCCAATGTCTTTAGAAACATCTTGTGACACAACACAAGATACAATTAATCATTGCTGACTTGAGATGGGTAACTAATATTTTTTTTTAAACCCGTTTGAGGTACGTGTTTCACTATTGCAGATGATGTGGGTTAGCCAGAGAGAGCAGGCAGGAAGAAATTGGCTTAGTTCACTTTCAAAATAGAAACTTGTCTTGATCAAGGCTCAAAACCCTTTTGTTTCAAGGTTGAGTAGCTCTGCAGAGCTGCGCTCGGTTAGCTGCATTGCAGAGCCAAATGATGAGTGTGGAATATATACGAAAGCTCTGGCACACGTTGGAGTAAAAGCACTCCAGAGACCATGGATGCTTTATGAGATGGACTGCTGTGCACGTGCATCAGCCGCTTCAAAGTCCTGCTGCCTTACTGCAAGAGACAGAACTGTAACGATGCTGCTTCATTTTGGACTTACTTTGTACATTAAAATGAGTTTCCACTTGATATTTTTGTTGTTAAAAGTCCTTGAAATTACATCAGGGAAACCTCAGTTCACAAAGGAAAATTATCCTTTGCTTCAGTGTTGGTCCAAATAAGCCAAATCTTGGTCACCTGCTGTCTTACCCCACCTGAAGTAACTATCTGTTACTGATAGCTGTAGGTAGCTTTGTGTTTTCCATCCTAAGCTGTATCATCTCTTAAAGATGGAGACTCCACAAGTTGTGATTAAATAGGGAAAACTTTGATTCTACGTTTTGATGCGTTTTGTATTGCACAAATAAAATTGCATTGCACTAACACAATTTGTGTTACATCTTCTGTTGATTCGTGTTGTAGTAGTTGTGTGTTACCTTAGGAGCTCTATGCCTTTCCAGTGCCAAAAGATCCTGGAGGCTGTGGGCCTCAAAAGTGAAATTATGGAGTATAATTGCTGGTTTGCACTCGGGCAGGTGATGTTGACACCAGTGATCTGTTCTTCGTGTAACTCGGATTAGGGGCTGAACTTCTCAAGGGTGCCGGCAGCTGTTCTCGGGCAGGAGGGATGAAGGCTGTACCCTGATGGGGGAGAGGTGATGTTCCCTGCCTGGTAGTGGAGGGAAGCTGGTGGCACAGCTCTGTCTGCGCCTTCCCGCTGTGTGCACAGCAGACGTGCTATTGCCCGTTGTGTCAGCAGCGGGACTGGGACAGAGCAAGCTCTGTTTGCCTGCAGAGTTGTCGAGGCTCTCTTAAAGTTGCAGGGGACTTTGGCTCAAGGATTTGGGATCCCAGCAGCCCTGATTCACTCACTGCCTCTTGCAGTTCACGCGT